TGCAATATACTTTATTTTATTTTAAATGATTTGAGGTGTTTTAATCTAAAAGTTAAATAAACTTTTTCTAAAGACGATTTCAGGTAAAAAGTAATCTTTGAGACTCAATTGCCTGCTATATACCAATCTTGAACTGTCGCCTTCAAACGCGCGGCGATTTTTGTAGGATCAGAATATTACGTATATATATATATACTATGTTTAGGTATATGCTATAGGTATGAGGGTGGGGGGAGAGAGAACCGGAGAAATTCTGTGAACAACTTTTATATGGAAAATTTGAAAAAGTTTTCCCAAGCCAATTCGATATTCATTCTTAAAATTTTATATGAATTTACGATGAGAAGAGAAAAAGTGTAATGCCGCATAATCGGGAATTTGATTTTTATATATATATATGACTTTGTGTAGAGTATTTAAATTGTTTATTTATTTGTATATGTACATAAAAAGAAATATTTTTCACATTAAAAAATCACTATTGGTTATAAATCTTTCATTTAGTTTCTGTAGAAAAAATTGAAACAATGCATTAATAAATTATAAATTTTAGATTTGATGACAAATGGTTGTGTTCAACAAGAAAAGAAAGAAGTGTTTTTTTACTTCCTTTTTTTTGAGGAAAAGTGTGATAATTATTCAAGCAAGACGTGAGTTTTAAAAAGTCCATTTCCAATGTAAATGTGACTCATTTTGAATCACGCTCGCTCTTAACAATAAGTAGCAACAAATGACGACAATGCAGGGGAAGAGTTTCTCTCATTAGTTTGTATATAGTTTTCTTTTGTTTACACACGGACTATTACCAAACCATTGGTTTGTAAATACAACGCCCTTTGTCTCGGTTTCTTTTTTTCGTTTTTAGAGACAGTTTCTTTCTCATCAATGCAAGTATCTTTCTTTTTTTTGCATCTGTCTCTCTCTCTGTCTATATATTGTATATACATAAGTATATAAATATATAATAATAATAAATAAAATATTTTCTTTTTGCGCTTTAAACTCAGATTTGTTTTATTAGATTTTTTGACGATTCTTGATGAAAAAATACACTGATTACAAATTGGATGTCTATTTTTCAAAATTCAAAATAGCAGATTCAATATGGAGGTAGGTTTTTTTAAAAATTGATTGCATTTGCTTGAAACTTGTTACTCGCTGTGGTTTTCAGTATCGCTGATTATATGAAATTAACATTAAATTTGTCTGACAATAAATTGGGTCGACCATTTTTTAAGTTTACATACACAGATAAGTTAGCGAATTTTTTTTATGTGTAAATTGATCGTGAAAATATTTGAATCTTCGCTAAAAGTAAATATATTATGTTATATTCGAGGGTGTGTCCAGTGGTCATGTAATATTCATGAAAGGTAATAATTTGCAATACCATGGAACCTCATCCTACTCGATACCTCAAAGGTCGAACCTTGATAGTTACCCCGAAAACGTGTTTGGTATGTCGAGTTGGACATTCCGCGCGTAAACTAACAGTCGGCCATTGCGTGTATAATTCCGAAATTATTCTTCAGTGTACATCCATCCATCCCACTGTGTGGGTGATGTGGTTCATCGATTTGTCAATAAACCGGGTCAAATTTCCTCAAATTGGATAATCCCTCAATTGGAAATCAGTCGTCGACACATTAGTGTATTGTGTCATTTACTTCAACGAAATTAGCTTTACGTTAATGTCTTAAAGGACAAAAGAATATTCTTTCTTTTTCAATTCCAATAAAAAATAATAGTATATTTATTACTATATCCTATTTTACTATAGTTTGTTAACTGGAAAGATGTAATTAATAATTTTTACAATTGCAATTTCATTTTTTTGGCATATATAATCGGGTAAAGCAATTTACGATCATTTCCGTTTATGTAAATTATTGTAGAATGAAGTCGATATTGAATGGAAAATTGGCGTATTTTATCGGTAAAGTCGAATCGTCATTTTACAAATTCACTCAGTTGAACCTGGGAGTAAATTGAGTTGTATATATAGACATTTCTTGGGTCCATAATGTCGATGAAAATCTCAGTATAAGCGAGCCCGGGGATGCCCCGAGCAATTGCGACAAGAGGTAGTTTCTCTCTCTCTCTCCTCGATATCGTTTGAAATGCCAGGTGCCACTATGTAGGGTGTGCAATCTCACAAAATCACGGGAAACGTAGGGCAATCGTTCTCGTGGAAAGTGGATCCGGTATGTTGGTAAACGTCTTGGAATATAAAGGTGACCCATATTTTTCCCCCTCAATGGCGAATCTATTTCAAAACTCTCCTTATTTTTATAAACTCCTTCGGTATATTTGAGGCAATCATTTTTTTCATATTAATATCTTTAAATATACAACATATCATTACTTTTTGAAAAAAATGTTCTTTCATCTAAAAATAAACTTAATTTTGTATATAATAAAAAAACATAATATATAGCCTATACGTTGATGAATGAAGAAAAAAAGTTTTGCTAAATTTTAAAGTTTAATAGAATTGAATAGAATTTGTAAGTTTTATAAAAGATTTGTAAAAGTTCGAATTAAAGACGGGGGTAAGAAAAATTGTCTCTTTATATTTCTTATAGGAATAAAATAAGTAATATTTACGTAAATCCAGTGTGCAATAGTAAGAATGTGGTTAGCACATTTTGTACTAGGAGATTTTTCCTTTATCCCTCTGAATTCTAATTTTATCCTTTATTCGCGTATTTTTCTAATAAAAGCAGGAAAAGAACAACATTAATAATTAAAATCTGTTTCAAACAACTTTTGTTCTAAAATTTATCAAAAAGAAGAAAAAGAAACTTGGGTTGAATTAATATTTTAACATATTAATTGTCATTTCAATAATATCGATTTAAACAAATTTTCTGAAGGCGAAAAGAAAAAAGTGAAAGTGGTGTAAAAAAGAACAATCCACTTTCGAGGTTCACTTGGTTGCCTATCAACTTATCCCAGGGGACAGAAAAAAATAAAACTAGACATTCTCTCTTATTTTCTTGATTTCAGTATGTTGCAAGTTGAAACTTGAAGTACTTGTATTTTATAGAGAATATAAGCCTGTGGTACGTTATTCAACCTGGAAATTGAACGTTGAGACTGAATTGTTCGAATTTTTCTCGGGATACTTTCCTTTCTCTCTCTCTCTCTATATATATACGTGAACTATATACTATTGGCTCTCGCTTGGAAAATGGAAACCATTATTAAGCGAAAACCGACGATATTAAATTTAGAGTGGTGGTAGGAATATAGGTTCTTTTGTTCTTGCGAGGCGAATATAAAGCAAAAAAAAAAAAAAATAGATACATTACAAAAGAGGTTATAAAGGTTTGAGGAATAGTCAATCTCAATAAACTTTTATTCACCCTACTTTTTTGAATGATGTTTTTAAAGCTCGCTTTTGATGATGTTCATTGAGCTTTCGAGCGGTGACATATATAAACGGATAAAACTTATTTAGTATTTATACCAACCAATTTTTGCTCATCTCAAAAATCAAGGTCAAAAATTCTTATGCAGCACATCTTGATAAGTTTTAAAAATACAATAAATGAATATGAATCTGAACTTTTACGCGTGGGATGTAAAACAATATGTATAACGCATTTTATGAACCTGTTGCAAATAAGGTTTTGGCAATTCGCCAAATGTTTATTGTGCTTATGTACATGTTGCTACACTCCAACACATACACACAAACAGAGAAGAGGGAATTTGGAGCGGTAGTTAATAAATTTTCAATCCGACTAGATTTCAGGGAAGATTTATTAGCTAAATATAGATAGATAGATAGGTGGATTAGAGGAATATAAAATTGGAATTTCCATTCTCATTCGATGTTGAATAAAACAGATACAGTGATTGACAATTTTTTAAAATTTCTATTTATCATTATTTTAATATGAAGTAAAAAGTAAATAATCAAATTTCTAACCTGTTAATTAGGAAAGTGCTTTTTTCCCCATATATAATATACACTAATAAATGTTTGTTTCTCATCTTAATAGAAACTTTAATTAATCAGAAATTTCCTTTTTTTTATTAATATACTATAGAAAAAGTGGGAAAAAAAATTTAATGTAATTTTTTTCACGATGCGTAAAACTTTTGTTTCTTCTTTTAATCCAATTTTCATGATATATATATATATATAACACGTGTACTTTTTGACAGGGGAAAGAAAAGGTAAATTCTGTGCGAATGGAAGTTGTTGTGAAAATTGAATTATCCTGAAAAAACTCATTGTTTTTCTATGTTCACTAGGATTGATTAATCGTTTTGTGCCACTCGTTAGAAGTGTATTTTGATAGGGTGCGAGAATTCTTGGAAGCGTAAGTTAGACAAATCAACATTATTTTTTCCTGGCTCAATCTCTCTCTCCTCATCTTCGTTTTTATTCTTAATAAAAATAAATAAAAATTATTATTATTATCATTATTATACATAACTAATATTAAGGAAGAGTTATATAGGCAAATCGAATACAGTCATAAAATTGCGGTTATAATGTTATTTGTTTTTAACCATCATGGAAACACGTGCGTTAGAAAAAGACAACATTTTTTCAACATATTATAGAAATGTCAGAATAAATAACTACCAACTATTTAAAGTAAAATTTTAAACGAAACAAGTTTTTAAAAATAAAGGCGGGAAATTTGAAAAAAATTCTGTTCTCATAAGGAATATAATTCAATTTTTAATGATGAATTTTTCAGTAATTATATTATAATTCAGGAATAAAATTTAATTCTTAATTTATATAAATTTTTGAGTAATTTTTAAAAAGTTTAATGTAAATTATATTTTTTATTATTATTTTTTTCTTCTTTTTCCAAATTTATATTTTTTTCTCAACCTAAATAAAAAAAAACTTAGATTTTGAACAGTAGTGTTCGACGTACGTATAAGGCGGTTAACGTACGCCTGCGCGAATACACATGATCACGCAAGGGGGTAGTTGGGTGCTTTTGCTCTTGCTCTAGCCTGTTCGGCCGGGTCGTCGACGACGTCCGTTTCGCAGAGCGGGCGCCAAAACGCGTATACATATCGCATGTGTCTCATCATCATCATCATTTTTTTGGGCCTTTTTTTAATTGACTGAAAGAAAAAATCGCAGCGCATATATAAAATCCTCGTAACTCACAATATATAATATCATAATAAATCGAGACCAAAAATTGTGAAGAAATAATATTATTTTTTTTATATTACTAAATAGTGTAAAAATTCCCTGTTTGTCATTTTTTGACCCCGCGTGTCAATTATGAGTTTTTTTAATATAGGAACGATGTGTCAAATTTTGTTCATTAATACAAGTCCAACAATGCATGATTTTAAAACAGGTACGTTCTTATACAACTATTTTACCATTGTTGATTTTTAAAAAAGGGAATTTTTTATTATTGGAAATTTGTTTTTTGCTATCTATAAATAGACATTTATTTTATTGTGGTTTCTCTATTTTTTTGTCCGATAAGAAAGAACAAGAGAGAGAGAGAAAGAGAGGACATAAAAATGATATATTAGTCAAGTCGAGGGAATAATTTTTATATTGGCGCGTATCTCTATTGTGGTAGGAAGCAAGCTCGTAATTAACAGGTGGCTCGGTTGCTCTGCAAGGGAAAAAGTATATGGGGATGAAAAAAAGAGACCCTGACCCATGCCTTCTCTTCTTTTTTTTCCTTTGATCAAGAAAATGTGTAAATTATTATATGCACGTATAAAAAGAGTCTTTTTTAATCTTCTCTATTTGAGTTATATGTTGTGATAGTTTATTGACTAATTGAAACTTATGTTTAAAATGATTAAAACTCATTTTTCTCAGACACTTTATTGTTCACTTGTATGTAAATAAAGTTGTTTCTCTGTGAAAATTTGATAAAAACAATTATTATCTTCTTACTCTCATTTGCATTTATTTTTAGAAAAATATTTTACATTTGTTATGTCGAAAAAAATTTTAAATATGTAAAAGTATTTTTTTTATATCCGGGCTCCTTGTTTTAATTTGGAAACTATATAACAATCCAATAAATATTTGTTCTCTATTGTTTGTTTCGTTATGTTTTCTTGATACAATCATTAATTGTTATATTTGCTGATATTATTCTCAAGATTATTCTTATGATTGGCCTTATTTTTCTCGTTATTGTCATTTTACTATTGTTATTTTAACAATCATTTTTCTTGTTAATATTTGTTGTTGTAGTTAATATTTTTTTCCTTTCTTGCTTCCATTATTGTTATTATACATATATAATTTAAAACTATATCCCAATAATTTTATCGACTTACATGCTCACATTAATTACACAAATTTTGCGGAAATTATTATCGAAATTCATTAAATGTATGATTTCAATTTTCAATCAGATTTACTGTAAATTTTGCAATTTAATTAACCCAGTTTAATTTTATATGCATATTATTTTTAAAAAACTTTTATAATAAGAAAATCCAATAACTAATATTCTATTAGACTAATTTTTGATTTTATGTTTATATAGAAGTACAAATATTTTGCCATATATTAACAAGAAAAAATTGTTAAGAAATTTTTGTTTAAATAATAGTAAAAAATTATTGTTTTTGTTTAATTTTTAATAACTAAATACAAATATAAATTAAATTAGAAAATTTTTCCATTTTATAAAAATAAAAAAAAATAGAAAACATTTTTTAAACACACTGTGTATAATAAATAAACAATAATAATCCCACACAGAAAATGAAAGTCGATTAATCTAACCAAATCACGCTCTCCATTAACCCCAATATCATTGTAATTAATTAAGGTAACACTGAAATTTGACCGTAAAAATTTAATTATATACTAAAATTGATTAGAATTTGTTCGCTTTTTTCTCTCTTGATTTTTTTTTCAATATTTCATGCGTGGGGTTATTATTCTTTTATGTAAATATCAAAGAAACAAGGAAGTGGTTTACATTATAAGAATGATTAAGCTATTTGATAAAAGTGACAAAATTGAGTAAAACGTATATTTTATGTATATAATATGTGTAATATGATGGATTTGAAACATTGTGCTCAAACGATTTCCGGCATCTCAAGAAATATATTTATGTAAAAATAAAATACGTCTTTTCGTGTCTTTTGTATTTTTGTGAAAAAAATGAAACACTCCCTTATTGTTGAAACTTTTATAACATGTAGGGTCCGAGAGAGGGTATGTATAGCTTTTATACACAAAATTGTATATATGGGGGAGAATCATCTTGCTCATAAAGTCGGTCTTTTGATCGAAATCAAGAGACACTGCTTTTTTACTCTGTTTCCGTGTGCTTGAAACGTAAAATAAAAAGAATGAAAAGAAAAGTGATAAATTCCTAGAGAATAACGTGTGCTATCAACTTCACACGAACGTTTTTTTCTTCCCCCTAGTTTCTCAAGTGAGATTATATAGAGAGGACTTTTGATATTTATCCCCCCTCTCGATCACATTAACAAAGCATCAGATCATGAGTGTTTTTTTTAAATAAGAAAAGGTCAAAAGTTTTCTAATGCTTTTCTTCAATTTTTTTCGCTCATGTTTAATATTTACAATATAACTTTTGTTGAATTTTTATTTTTATATAAAACTTTTTTTTTTATTGTTTTCAATCCTTGTTTGTACATTCAAAAAATAATATTTTGAATATATTCTTGACACCTTTTTTGAAATATATTTTAATGAAATTTATTTTAATACTTTTAATATTGTATCTACATGAGGGAATATTTTACCAATTGAAAGGGCTTCAAAAAAGAAAAAAGGTATATCAAAAATACTATTGAAAAAAATTGTTTATTTTAATATTTACTGACAGTTAGTGACATTTCACTGGAGAATCAGTGAAATGTTACTGATTCAAATAGCTAGAATTTAGCGACTGATTTGAGATCAGTGACTTTTTCACTGATTCAAATTTAGAGAGTAGTTGAAAAAATTACCTAAGTATGCACATGTTTGAAAAGAAACTTTTTTCACGTAAATTAATAAAACAATAAAAGAATTTCTTTAATTAAAAATTTTCTTTTTTTCATTAAATACGCAGTACAATTCATACGTTGATGAAAAAAACCGAGTTCAAAATGAGTTTGGTCTGACTTGTGATAAATTATTCTACTTTACCTCGCAAATCTGTCTGACCATTATTGAGATGCACTACTAATTTCTCGGATCTTACTTTAAACTAAAGCAAAATTGCGCTCGCATTTTACATTGAAAAAAATGGATCTTTTTAAATTAAAATTTATAAATAAAAAAATTGAAGAATATAAATATTTTTCTTTTTCTTTATTTTTTCACAAAAATGATTTTTACTTTTAAAAAATTAATTTTCTCGATTGGAGAAGAGTAAAATAGAAATTGTTTTCTTTGTTTTTTATCTTTATTTATCTATTATCATGGTTATAAACAATTGAATATAATTATTTTCCATCTTGTAATTACAATTATATTCCAATATTGCAATGAATTAAAATTAATTCCAATAAAAAAAATAATTGAATTTTAGTTCGCTCGTCTACTTTCCTGGTTTTTTTTGTCTTATTCTTTTAATGACAAGAAACTAGTAGAGAGAGACGATAAGATTTCTTATCTTTCAAACAGATCCTGGCTTTTAAAGTAACATAGCGCAAGTTAATGGACAGGTGCAGACTTTTCAGAAACTAATGAGATGAGGTAATGTAAAGGAATATCTGGCGAAAGTTTCAGAAATGTAAAAAAGGAGTTTTTATAGAGAACAAAAAAGAAAAAAGAAATTGAATTTTTGAGAAGATGTTGAAAATATATCGTTCACTATGTCTCAAATAAATATATTTTTCCTCAATTTTTTTTCAATTTTTCTTAAAAAACATATTTATTTTTAATGATATTTTTTAAAAATATTTATTAATATACAAATATTTAAATTCAAAGTATAAATAAAAGATAACTTTAAACCTTATATAGGTTAAGTCAAAGGTCAAGGGATGAATATAACCTTAAAATTTAATTATTATTATTATTACTATTACTATTACTATAATTATTAATTATTCATTATTATAATAATAAAATAATAAATATAATTATGTTATAGATATTTAATTTAATTTGTTTAGGACAAGATACATTTTTAGGTTATTTTAGCGATTAACTTACAATTAATTATATTGTCACTGTTAAATTATGTCTTAATATGGAAAATTAATTTTTTATATAATAATATAAAATGAACTTAAATTGAATTATATACAATATACACATTATTTGATAAAGTTGTGAAAATAAGAGAGACTTGACTGTTTTACCGGCTAACTTTAGAGTCACCTCTTCTCGTTGGTAATTCTCGCTAAATTAAATTCCAAGAAGTCGAGAAGTACAGTCTTATATAACGTCGCTTTGGTGATAGGAAGTGCATGGGTTCTGAATTCCCACCGGATATAGAGGTGCTTACGTGAATATATATTTTTCTTTATATATATGTATAATACTTATATGTTAACTCAACTCAAGTGTCAATTTATTTTACTATTTTCTGTATTTTATACTATAATTGCGATTAATAATAATTTTTTTTAAATAAAGTAAAAATTATAATCAAATTTTAATAATTAGTAAATATTGGTTTTTGTCTCTCTCCGCCCCACCCTAAGAACTTTGCCATTTTAATCTACTGAAATTAAGTACATATCATTATAATATTAGCAAATCGTTATGATTATATTACTTTATGTAATCAGTAATGTAAGTATTGTTATATAATGTTTATTATTATTATTATATTTTCTAGTTGAGTGTACAACTTACAAATCTTTCTAATGGTCGCTTTAATCGTTTTACACTTTGTGTTATATTAGTCCCTCGGTCTCTCTTAAAATCATTTGCCGACTCATCAGCAATAATATTAATTAATAATAATTTAATAATTTACACTTGGTGAAAAAGAATTTTATCATGAAATTATTACTACACTAGGAGAATATTTATTTTAAACTAAAATTGGGTTGGGTAAAAAATTATTTTCTTGTTTTACAAATATGTTATATATATTTGCATATTTTTTACATAAAAAATGCAATTAGGTGACTGGAAATTTGAATTATTTAACGACAAACTTAATTTTTAACAAGTATTATACACATTCACACAAATATATATATATGTATATAATAAACGAGCTTATGAATATTCCCTTCAGTTTTAAATATATTTATATAATACATTTTCCAAAATTCAACGAACCAAAGTGTCATCAAAAATGTATGAGTGTGCGAAAATGCTTGAAACTATAAAAGAAGTTTAAAGAGTAAAAGTAAGAATCGTATATACGCGTTGTAAAATGATTTAATGGAT